ATATTGGGGGAGAAGCGAATAGAAAAGGAATGGAGCAATGCAAATTGAAGTAAGGAAATCCATTGGAATGTCTTAAAAAACATTTACACTGTCAGCTAAAATAAGATCATAATTAGTAAGGGATTTAGATTCTGTACATGTAAAAAATGATACAGCAACCTGCTAATTGTAGACAGTAATATTCAAAAGTTACTGAGGAACAAAGACTGGTACATAATTATGTGCAAGGAGTAGGAGGGTTACAAGAAATGTTTCAATCTAGTAGATTGAACCACAGCTGAGAAAAGGCTAGAACAATAACCTTGAAAACAAGCATTAAAAAGCTACTGTCACAGCAAAAGAAGGATAAAGAAGAACATGTTTGTTTACACAGCAAGCTAAATTTTGCCTACAGGCAGACCTACCCTACAAGAGAGCCATAGACATATGGGCATAGCATTTGTTTACATATGAAAGTAAAATACAGCTTTAACTATAGAGAAGCAAAACTTCACACCCTAGGACTGCATGTTACAAAGGTCCTATAAAAATAACATCATAGTTTATAGCCTGTTTAGTAATAATTTTGACAACTAACGTGCAATTGATTTTTTAAAATTACTGATACACTTTTTTTTAATTACAACTATAGAATGCTCAGATCTGGCTTCTGATGCCTGTGCTGCCATTAATAATCATTCTTTGTCCCTGAGAGACAGAAACAGCAAGCAACCTCACCTAACAGTGATATTGTAAAAAGAAATTCATTAATACTGCATTTGCGGAGCGCTCAGATACCACAGTGAGAAGCAGCACGGAAAAGCCTGCAAGGAAATTAATCATTCTGCATTCAGTGGAGGATCTGGCAGATGTGCAATAAAGAAATCCTGGAGACATACATTAAATATGAAGATAAAAGAAGACCCTAGCCATTACTAGCAGAAATAATATCCCCTGAATGAGCATCATCTGCCTTAGGCATTAAATGTTTCACATATTCTCATTCAATACAATGGAAAAAAATCTGATTAATGTGATATGATTATAGCAAGTACCAGCCAGGTATTCTGTGCAAAATATAGAGTTTGATAATGTAATTAAGTCTACCATAAATATATGTTCTGGGACTAGTATTTCTGCATTTCCACATGCTTAATTTTGCAACTAAATAACACCTCCACATCACAGCAATTATTAGCTAATGTTTATTCTCAGCACTCAGGAGTTCCTGTCACCACAGTCCTAGGTGTGTTTTGTGTTAACACAGTAAATCAATCCATGTTTCACACTGCAGCTGCTAGACTGCTTCTGTAATCAAGATATCCTGTCCTACAGTTAGCTCTAATGATCCAGGATAGCAAAGACATGACAAAAGAAGGCTTAACTGTGGCAACAAACCTGCAGGCTTACAGCTAGCTCAGTTATCTGTACTAACATTGCACTGTAAAATACTGATTTTATTTTACTCTACATCAGTTCTTCTCTCCCATCCACATAAGTTATGCTTTGTCTTACCCCATCAGCTCAAATCTGAAGTCAGATTTCAATTTTCTCCTCTGTTAACCAGTAGGGACGACTGCTGCAGAGGAAGGATGTGTAGGGAGGACTCTAGGATGCATCCCTGGGCTGGAAAAGGTCTATCAAAGCTGCTTTCTATAGTACTTCAGAAATGGGGAGAAGAGGCAAGGGGGCTCCATGCATGCCTGTCTAGAAAAATGAAAGATGTGCTAAAATAATCTGGCTGGCAGAAATAGTCTCAATATCTGTGCTGAGATGCAGCAGTGCTGTAACATATTATGGTTCCTAGTACAAAAAATAAAAAAGAAATAAAAAAAATCAAACACCACAGACAATATGGATGACCAACTATAGTCCTTCAAGCAACTACATACAAACCCATGCCACTGTGTCAAGACTAAGACTTTTACCTTGGCTACTTAAGTCAGACAGGGCACACTACCTGAAGATACAGCAAGGTAGATAACCACAGGCTGATGAACTGCAGCATCTTTAAAGGCTCCTAGGCTGTATATCAACAGGTACATCCTAGGGCTGACACCCAAATCATCCCTCATCTTGACTCCAGGAACCCGCCTGCACAGCATGGGGACACACCTCAGGTGTTCTCATCACCCAGTGTTCTGAATGTTCTGAAAAGAAAGGCAAGGCTCTTCCACCTTCTCTATGCAGTCTCTTACATTTAGGACAACACACTACCTGGAGGCCCCGAGTTTCACTGCAGAAAGAGGCTAGCTTATGCTTATCTAACAAGGTGAAATCAGGCTCAGGAGCACGTGAAGCTCCCAGAGTCCCACAGGCTATGTATGTGGTTTCTCCCCATGCTATTCCCATGGCTGAGGCACAGCTGGTGAACCACAGAGTAGTACTTGGACTCTCCTCTGCCCAATTCAGACAGACACTGCAAGTGGGAGTTTGGATCTTTTCAGCCAAATGTATTCTGGTTCATCACCACAAGAAGCTTCAAAACTTAGCTGAGCTATTGATATATTTACCGCTTTCTTTCCCACAAGAGGAATATTTCTATCAAAAAAAGGTGTGTGCCGTTACCTTTCATAAGACAAATTGACCAGTTGCAGGGGGAAAAAAAACACCATAATTAGTCATCTTCATGAATATATGTGTCCAAATGACAATGCACAGCTCGCTTTCAAGGATCAATCCTGACTGATTTTTAAGGATGCAGGTGGCCAGTGACTCATGAGTAAAGAGATTAATAATTTCAGTAGACAGGTCTTCTAGGATGGCATAGCAAAGCTTAATGATATGTTTGTCCTCAGCTAAGACAACGGTAGCAGGTAACAGCAATTTTTTTCTACAGCAGACATTAAAAAGTCTAATATAGGCACGTTTTCCATTTACTGTGTTATTAATACCAATGAACTAATAGAATTTGGGGTAGCCTTTTGTTTTTTATTTAAGCTAGCCTAGCAGTCCAGTTACCTCCTATTTGACACAAGCAGGACACACCCCGAGTCTGCTATTCATACAAGGTCTGCTCATTTAAACATAAAATTAAGACAACTAAATCTGATTAAATGTCAAAATTAACATATCTCCTTTCAGGAATGCAGAACCAAACAGAGCTTTCCTTGTTATAAAAACCAAACTACAAACTGAAATTGTGTGTGCACACACTGTATGCAGGTGAAAGAATTTCATCAGAGCTGGCAATCACCATGTCATCATCAAGACATTCTAACACAAAAAATGTAGAAATAAGCAAACCAAAACATAGAATGAGAGGAAAAAAAACAAAACACCCCAACATTCACAGTGAGAAAATCAAGATGTTATAATGTCTGTCTTTGAAAGGCCAACAGCACACAGTGATATCTACAATTACAGGGTTCAAAAATGATGACAGCAAAAATCACAAGAATTACTATATAGAAGTGACTTTCTCCTATTCTTTGTCGCTCAGAGCACTCAAATATATTGATTCCTTCATTTCACTACTCTAAAATTTCCTGTCTTAGAAATCTGAATGAGGCAAATTTGAACCTAGTAAAATTGTAAAAGCCTAGGTTCTGGTTGTTTGCTAGTTCAAAAAGTTCACAGGTCTGATTAATTCCCACATAAACTGAAGGAAGTGTTAATAACAAACATCACTCCCTTTTCCAGCCAGAAGTTTTGCTCATCTTTTTTTCAAAGAGGACAGTTTCCGATATTGGGTATTCTCAGTAAACGACAGCTAAAATACCTATTGCCAGGTACATCAATGTAAATGTACAGGCCTCAGCTGCCATCTCTTCTGACTCATGGAATTTGGAATGTTAGAATCTGAGGGAAAAGAAACCACTTTTTCAAAGACAATTTTACTGACATTGATGCTAGAACACCTATTTCTTTTTCAACATATAAGAAAAAGATAATCCCTTACATCACAGACATCTGACAAAGCTGATGTACTTTTACTGGTTATCAAAGGATCGATATCACTTTTGGTTATCTAACACAAATAATCAAAGGCCAGGAATAGGCAGTGTCGCAAAATGACAAGTCTCTGTATTTATTACATTTAAATAACTTGTCAGTCTTGATCAAAAATGATCACTTTCAGGACTTCCATTAGTAATGTTCTTTTACTTACCCAGTGGGGAGGTTACAAGGAATTTAAACAAATAAAGATTGATCTCTTTTGGAAAAGAATGTTCTTTATTCTTTACTGCAAAAAAGATATGTTTTGTTAGGTGCTGCTACACATAGCAATTGGTTTGCTTAATTTACTTTTTAGAATTCCCTTTGTGATCCAGTTAGTAACCTGTGTCAAAAATGATCACCATCAAAATACAGAGGTTCTTTCTGCCTTTTGAAAATGTATCCTATGCTTAAAATCTTACTTTTATCAGATTATACAGATAATTAATGTATTTTTATTCAGGCAAATTGTGTACAAGTTTGCTAAAACTCCTAAGAGATTCTGATTTCTTTCTGCATTTCTTAAGCTCTCTTTGCTATTTTTCCACAGACTTTTACATAAAGCAAGTTTATTCACGTAGTGCCAGTAATCTCTCTTTGGATAGGGATTTAAGCTTCAAAGCAATGATTAGGAAAGCAGACACCTAAGAATTACATGTAGCACAGCAAACCTTGCAGTTAAATCTGACTGACAGACTATTCTCTAATGCTTTGGAATCATCAGTACCATAGGTATGTCAGTTTATTAATTTATTTTGCTATTGCTCAAAAAAGGAAACCATCTCTTCCCACAGGTTATTACAGCAGTCTCTCAGGTTACTTCACTGACCATTGGAATGGCTGTAATGAGTTTAAACATCTAACTAATCACTGCACCACCTTTTTGAACACTTGCAAACTGCAAACAACAACTACAGTAATAGAGTTTCAGATTCTTGAGAGCTATGGAGCAGAGAAAGCTGAAGGATTACAGGGTAACAGTGCTAAACCAAGAGTGTGCATTTTATACATCATCTAAGGCTGCATTTTAGGTAAAGGGAACATTACATATCAGTCAATGGCATAATAACACAAAGTCTTACCCTTTGTTTTCAAGTCGTTTAATACCTTTGATTCCACAGGCAGTATGTCGCTCACTAGTTTTATCTCAATATTTCGGGATGCCAGTTCAAGCAATTTTTCAAAAAGACGCTGACCCTGGCAAGAAAATGAAAGGAAAGCAGAAGTTGCGAGACAGAATTGTTCAAACAGCAAATGAACAAATTAAAGTTAAACCAAAAACATATCATACAACAGCTGAGTAAATATGCTCCCAGGTATGGTTAAATTTACCCTAAAAGTTAGCAACTCAAACCACTTTTTCTTGAAGAAATAATGTTTTGAAGGCAAAATGTGCTACATCCTTTTCCCAGATTATACAATGCCATTATACAATACCATTGATGACAGGCAACACAGAGAAGGAAGCGTCCAGATTTTTTATGCTTCATAAATGCATTCTTATATTAACTTTACTCTAAATAATTATATTCCCCTAAATCAGAATAAAAATTACACAATTCTGTCTTGAATGATTTTTTTGTAATTGATTCTAACCATAGTACAGTACATTTTCGAGTGGTCACATGCTCATCTTTAGATGAGCTATATCATGAATGAAAACAATGGTCTACATGTATTTCATATATTTTTCCATTTTACAGTTATAAATCTACTATTTAAGCCCTATTTCTAACCAAGACCAAAAAAAAGGAATCTCATACTGAGTTAGCTACTTCTTAGAATCAAAATCAAGAACTTTGTTTCACTTGAAAAATAAAACTTTGAATCACCACATTTTTCCACATCTGAGAAACAAAAAGTAGATCTGATTGCATAGTAAATGTTTAATTTTTAGTTTCAATATTTTAACTTTAAGAAAAATATTTAACTAAAAACATCTAACTAAACAATTTGAAGAATGAAATATCCAGTAACGTATATGAAATATGCTGTGTTACAACCACCACCATTAAAGCCTGCTTCCTTGCTGCCATTCTAGCTTACTACAGGAGACACCAGTAACAGTTAGCAGCCAAATACACAAAAACTTTGGCTTTGCACAGCTAACAAAGTGCCTGCCCTACCTATACAGTTCACTTTAGATTCAATATAATGATGACCCCAAGGTAAAGCAAAAAAACAACAGTCATACCTACTTTAAAACAAAGATGTAGAAGATAAAGCCTTCCACAGAAACATCCTAGATAATTCTCTGAACAAATTGCTACTCTCAAAATCTTACAAGGATCTCTCTATCCAACAAAAATAGCCAAAGCAAAAGCAGTTTGTAATCTGACTTTGCATGGACTTGCAGAACCTCAGACAGAAGCCCTACTCCTGCACCAAACCCAGAAGGAGCAGACAGTGGAAAGCCACCCTTTGCCCTGCGATTGCCTTCACAGATTGACACTTTGAGACTTGCTGAGCCTTAAGCATCAGTCACAGAAAGTAGCTCTTCACCTGTCTACACTACAGACACAAAGCCAAGCCATCAATCACACTACAGACGTATTTTTTAATATTCACTTATTTTGAATATGTGGCACAAGAAGAATACCCAGCTTTCTAAAAACTAGCTTTCTCAAAATTACGGGGCAGCCAGGGACTGCAATGAAACCACATAACTACTGTTTATATTTTACTTTTGTAACACATGCCTGCTTGCTGGCTCAAATCCACAGTGTAGCTTTCTGCTCACCCCAGGGTTCATATGAACTTAGTAGTCAACAAGATACTGACATAAGGAAAGCATTGGACAAAACAGGAAAATAAAAACAAATGCTTTGCATGAAGCTCCAAATGTTTCTTATACTCAGATTCAGCATTTCTTGAGGTGCCTAGGTGGTCCCATATGCAAAAAAAGACATCCATGATTTAACTTACACACTCAAAAGCCCTTACTGAGTTGCTGTGCATGTCAAGGTATGGTTTTCCCTCACATGGCTCCTGAAGCTAGAAGGATCCTGTCACATCAGTGATTGTGTTGGACTTCTTTAAGAGGAGCAGATGTTACCCAAAGTAAGTCAATGAGACAATAGCAAGGTGGATGCTGCACACAGTTATGCAGCAGCGCTATTGGAATCCTGGGGGAGAAAAGGGGAGCTGGCCAGTACTCCCGAGTGGCTTTACTCTAGCCAAGATAGTCTGTTCTGCAGTTGCTGCAGACTGGCACCGCTAGACTAACTGAATCAGGGAACAGCAATCATTATATTGGCTGCTGGGTTACCAACCCGTGCCTTGCCCTATCTTCCAGCTCTCCAAGCGCCACAGCCCATGACATGCCAAAGCTCAGACAGCCTTTGGACCCACTTCTTCTGTGTCCAGTGACTGGAGAAACCAGCAGGTTTAGTTTTCATTAGTCATATCTTCGCAAAGAGTGAGCAGGAAAAATTGAGTAAAAGGCTTGCATGACATAAATTAAATACGTATGTATGTAGAAACAGATACTTGGAAAGGTTCTATATGTTGATTTAATTTACTTGGTAGAAAGACAGACACTTTTTGTTTCAGTTATTTGCAAAAACCAATTTTGACAAGAAGCATAGTAAAAAGCTCTAGCATACAAAAAATAAACATGCAAAAGGCATTCATAAATTTGATGGAAAGTGATTCACAATATCAATACAAATTAATGCATTAACTGTTCTGCTAAGGAAATGCTTGGAAAGCTAACACCTAAAGCTGATAAGATTAATTGCTTCAGGGGATGGTTCTTTAGGGCTTTTCCCCCATGGTAATTATTTTTGTTTACTGCCACTTCTATCTGCACAAGATTTTATTTATGTATGATTTACAAAAGCTTCAATAAACAAGCCTGGACTACCCGCAATAATTTTAGTTTGGACCCAAAAGAACATGGCAGCATTTCCTGATTTTAACCTGGTCTTAGTATGCGCTGATGTGACCAACACAGTATCCTTGATGGATCACCTGGCTGTCTCTTACGGGCCATGCTGTCAGCTGCATGGCCCATCCTATGGGTGAATAGAACACTTAAAGTGCAGCCCCGCATTCCAATGAAGATACCTTCTCTGAAAAGCAATCTCTTTTCCCATCAGAGATGCTACATGCTATGCATTTATAATATCCTTTTTTTTGGTCTAATTATATTCATAAATAGTAAAACCTCAAATTGATAAAAAATTTAAAGCAACTAGGAGTGCACTCACCACGAATAGGTGTGTTTATACAGGTATACAAAAAACAACATCCAGTGCCAGGCTGCAAAGAATTCCCTCCATCTCATCTCTTTCTGCATCATTCTTCAGCAGGCATTTATATACTCAGCACAGCTTAACCTGTACATTCTAAACAACTATGAATATTTCCCAACTTGTTTTTAAAAGTATGCATGCTATACTAAAATAGGGTACATTATTGAAGAACCAGACCTTCTGCTCCATTAATATTAATTTGAAACTCTGTTTCTATACTTCATGACATGTTTACCTGCAATTTTTCTGTTTTCTTCTATGAAAAGGTAAAAAGACCGGACAGAGGGTCTGAAGAGTTTTGTCACTGTTGTCGGCACATTTGAAATGCTTCTGTTGAATACAAACCCTCGTGTTGTCATTCAGACAACATTCCCTTTGCGATGCAATACCAGGCTGCTGCGTGACTGTGACAGTGGTCAGAATAATTTCAATGTACCCAGCTTAGGAGGACTGAGAAATAGTAGCAACCCAGTGCTGTGAAACTGCAGCATGCAACCTTATACCATATCTGCATTTTGACACTTAATACCACCAGAAATCGGCATACCCTGGTAAAAAATTCCCTTATGCTTTTCACTGGGCTGTTTCAAAAAACCTACTGTGACAAAACAGGATATACAGAGTATTTATCACAGGAACACACTGACATTCTCACCGTAGCTTTAAACTAGCACACACCTGAAACATCAATCCCGGCTGTACCTGCCACAGTCATCTGGTGAATTGAAAAAACAAAAGAGTTATCATTATCAAAAGATCCTGAAATTGCCCCCAAAGCAATTTCTCAGCAGTCACTAGGCAGACTGATTCTAGCCTGGCTGATTTCCCTTCCCTGCTGTTGTCTTTATCAGTATGCATTCCTCATTAAAAATAAAACAGAGGAGATAAGAACACAAAAATGCTGTATTTATTGAAATACTATAAAATCGAATTATTGCACTCTTCAGTAACTTACATTCCTACAGTTTAGACAATGCTCAACTTTATCTATCCACAGAAATGAAACTAGTTACTTCCACAATCTTCTTCTGTATTTATTCTATATAGTTCTACTAATATTTTTAAAGGTTGTCTTATAATCAAGCCCTAGGTATATCTATAACACATTACCAAAAAACACAGCATGCTTTCAGAAACCGGTGGAAAAAACAAATCAAGAAATCCTAACCTTAACTTCTGCTATTTACTACAGAGCAAAGAAACTCAAATGCTTTTCTCAATTCTTCTAGCAAAACAGCTAATGAAAAGAGAGGGAATGTGCTTTCATTGAAAAAAAAACCCTCTTTTTTTAGTTTATTTTCTATAACTCAATCTGTACCAGATGCATTGAGGAAATGCCATCACCTGAAGAGAGATGTTTGTGTAAAAATAAGCTTACAGAAAGGAAAATACACTGTGATGTCTACAGCTGATTGTAGCCAGTCTCTGCTGTAGCCATTAGGTTTGGAGATGTGCTCTTTGTACTTATTTGCATTTTTAAATAACCTTCAGTAATGGGTACATGTAAGCTCTGGCACTAACATTTGTTTTACCGAAGAAATCACTTTAGATCCTTGGACAATGCATGCCTGAGTGACACACAACCCATCATCAGAGATTCATTACAAAACTGAACAGGTGGCTTACATGAGACATACTACCAGATGGAAAGGGAGATTCCTCCCATCAAGCCAATAGGTAGGTAAATAAAGTCAAGAACCATCTACTTTTTTTTTTGTGCAATCACTGTAAAAATCAGATGCAGATCTATACTTTGATCATCTTATGGTCATCCTGTCGTGGGTTCAGCAGTAGCAGTCTTTTTTTCCCCTTCTTGGTAGCTGGTGCAGTGCAGTGTTTTGACTTTCGGCCTGGGAACAGAGCTGATAACAAGGATGTTTTGGTTTGGCCAAGGACTTTGTGAGCCTCATGCTCTGCCAGGGAGGAGGGGAAGCCAGGAGGAAGCAGAGACAGGACACCTGACCCAAACTGACCAAAGAGGTATTCCATACCACAGCACGTCATGCCCAGGATGTAACGGGGAGTTAGCTGGAAGGGCTGGGAGACTGCAGGGTTGGAGGAGGTATTGGTAAGTGCTTGGTCGGGCTTGGGGGGCAAGTTATCGGTTGGTTGGTGGTGAGGTGTTGTATTGTCTTCCCTTGTTATTTCCTTTATCATTGTTATTATTGGTGGTAGCAGTAGTGGTTTGTGTTATACCTTAGTTACTAAACTGTTCTTATCTCAACCCGTGGGAGTTGCATTCTTTTTTGATTCTCCTCTCCGTCCCGCCGGGAGTAGGGGGAGGGAAAGAAGGGGGGGAGTGAGTGAACGAGTTACCTGACTGGGTTTAAACCACAACACATCCAAATAGCCATCCAGGGAGAACTCTGCCATACTCATAGCGGTATCAGTAAGTACCGATGGCATTAATTCTTATTTGTGAAACAGAATAAAATTTGTGAGTAAGAACTTGCTGGAATTATAAAAGGTCACTCCAAATTAAGGTTTCTAAATATAAGATGAGCCAGAGGAAATTAATTGTGAAAAATCATGAAATTGGCATTATCTCACATTCACTTCTCCCTTCACTGCAATGAATGAAAGGCTAACCTCCGAAATTGTGTTTCCATTATCCTCTGGTATCTCTAAACATCAGATTGCCACAGGAGTCACACATTCACATTCTGCAAAAATCTCAAGGCTTCTACACGACAGCTACCCTGCTGTCTGGAAAATGCACAGATGATAATGCAAAAATCACCAAAACACATTTTATCTTCTGAATGAGAAAAGCAGGTGTAGAAAGCCTATTCAGTATTTTGCCAAATATTTGTTTACTTGACCGCCTAACCTGTAGAAGCACATCTAACACTGCAGCATCATGTGTTTCCATTTGGAGACTAATTTAGCAAGACTCATGAACTCAGATGGCCAAGTGAAGCAGTTGTGACCTGGACAACTCAGTCAGCTGTGACTGCTAGTTTAGACTTATAACAATAAAACATGGACAGGCAACTGTCAAGGACACAAGGTAACATAGGTACCACACCCACAAACAAAAGTTAACAAAAATACAGCAGGAACTTCTGCAATTTCATATATGCAGACATACGTATATGCATTTATGTATGTCCAATACATTGGACAAAATGGACAATGTGTCCCTGCCCATGGCAAGGGGATTGGAACTAGATGATCTTAAGGTCCTTTCCAACCCTAACTATTCAATGATTCTACGTATATGGATGATATTTATATTGGGCATATATATATATGTGTGTGTACATACAACTGCAGAATTTTCTGCTCTGTGTTTCCTCAATACATGTATTGGACATGCATATATGTACACGTATGCATGTCCATATGAATGCATATGTATAATGTACGTATATATATATGCATGCGCGCATGTATATAACTACACAAACATATACAGAGAAAACAGCTAAACCTTGTAACTAATTATCAAAAAGCAATCTAGCCTACTCAGCTTTTCTCCTTCAAAAATCCACGTCTGTTGAAGTGCTCTTGTAGACAACCTTGCTTTGCAATATGCCTTGAATATTCATAAAATGGAAATCAGAAGTTACAGAGCAGGATGTGGGTCCATATGGAAAATGGTTACGTGCTCAGTTTCTGATAAAACAAGGATCATTCAAGGAAAGGCTAGAACTAACTAAACACCATACCACCTGGAAGTTTTGCATCTCACCCCCTAACCTTTCATAATGCTTCTGTTATTTTGGGGCAAATTTCCCTAAATTCAAATTGTAAAGACTTGAGAACAGTCTATTTATAACTCAGAAAACAGCTAGATTACAATTATTGAAGGTCCTCTGAAATTTCACTTTAATTTTCTAAGTGAAGAAGCAGATGTAACAAGTTTTCTCCTTTCCCTTTCACAAGCTAAGCTTTGTGTACATTCTCCTGGGCAGCAATTTGCTAGGAAGTGCTGCGACTTGGCAATTTCTTTAGCAATTAGACTGGCCAATAGAAGTACAGTGTTTCAGCATGGATAGACAAGCTTGACAGAAAGATCTATCAGCTGTTCAGCCCACACTGCTGTACAAATGAGGAAATGACTGGAATATTAATTGCCTTTAAACAGAAGTAATTACCCACTTTTGTAAGACTACTAGCAGGCAGAAATAGATACCAGAATAGAATATTATGAAAAATGTTTCATTTTTCTGGCTTTAATTGTGCATTTGAGGATGAAAGAGCAAATCCACTTCTTGCATATCTCTTCTCCCTTTCCCTGCTCTGACATTCCACAGTATCTTACAGTTTTTACTTTGCATGAGAATGTGGAACAGTGTGAATGGATTTGATGCTTAACTACTGAAATCCCAATTTCCAGTTTCCTATTTTTGTCCTCTGATTGAGATTTGTTAGGCTCTGCTGGTTTTGAAGAAAATGACATGTTGAATTTTTTTCAGACAAAACATTTTTAAAAGCTTCATGCATACACCAATTCATGCACATCCTAAAAACATCTAAGGCACTATCTCTTTGAATTCATCTGCTTGAATGACAGTACATGGGTTTGAAGTTTCTTAGGCAATACATTGAAATAAAGCTTAGCTGCATAATTACATTGTGAAAAAAACTCAATATTTTGATACTCAATACATTTATTCGCAAACTATATTCCAATATTTATAAGCATTCTAAAAGGAAGGGTTTGCACTGCATTTCTCATTCGGCTGCTTGCCTCAGATTTTCACTCTTTTTAATGGACATGCAGAAGATTTATTCTGAAGGAAAGTTAATGTATGACATTCAACTCGGCTACAGCCTCTTTCAAAAGAAGTAAAATCCAGCTCACGACTTGAAAACACAGACTATTTGCAGTAATATCTTTAGTTGCTCAGAATACCAGTCTTTGTCTGCGACCTACCAGAACTAGAGAGGAAAGGGAAGGGTTTATACCATAGTATAACAGAGTTGATTCCTTACCTGGCTGCCATTTTAACCCCATTTCATGTTAGCCGAGCAGCTTCTTTCAGCAACGAATACAGATAGTGGAAAAGAGGACATACTCTCAAACTACCAACTCTTTGATAACTTAGCTTCACAATTGATACTAAGTGGAAATCTGCCCTTACCGTATTTCTAAGAGTACTGATCTCAAGTCTTTGTTGGAATAACATCACTGTAATGCATGTCTGCCTCATTCACTATGATTCATGATTTTTTTCCTATTGCTCTTAATTGCAGAAGTCTGAAAACTGCTCCCTCACAAGATTCATTTTGGAAAGGTAAGAGAAATCATCTGATACTACATTGTTTTTTATATATGTACTTCTATCCATTTGGCTGCAGAATTAACCCACACGCTTATGCTTTTACTGTTTCAGTTGAACCAAACAGAAAATAAATGTATACATTTATGGATATTCCCTAATTCTAAATGTGTTAATATAGGTACAATTTTGCAGACTACACAATGACATCCTTTCCTAAGATGGAAGCAATATGAATGTGTTGGATGTGTTACCTAGACTAACATAACACCACTTTCAGAAAGCTATTGTATTGGCAGGAAAATCTCCATGAGAAAATGTTTTTCTTACACTACTCAAACAAATGGGTCTGTACAGGGACAGGCTGTAGTTCTAAAAAATTAATAGTGAAACAACAAGAACAGATTGTCAAAGTCCCACCCTTTCATTAGGCTAGAACATACCTGGCATGCTGATGGATGGCTGTGATTGAGGTCCCACTGGGAAGATACTATGTCAACAGACTTTTCAGCCATATTAAGTAAATTCATCCAGCCTTGGAAAAGAGACAAATGGGATGGTGCACTGTCTGAATAGTTGATACCTTCAGGAATATTTTCCACAAGAGCAACCCTGAGAATAGATAAGGAAAGAATAACCACTTAACAAAAGCACTTTTCTGCATTAAAAAGTTCCAAATTGTAAAGAATGTCAGGTTTTGGGCCTGTGATTCAACATCTGCTCCCAGAGGCTCTCAGCAGTGTGCCACCCTGCAACTCATTCTGAAGTTGCTGAATGTCATGCTCTGCACTTCCCAAAACAATTAAATGCAGAAATGACCTACTCTAATGCAGCAAAGCCAGTTAAGCTTTTGAAGCTCTGTGAAACTAACTTAAATATGTAAAAACTTACTTCTAATAACACAGTAAGTGGGAATTAGTCCTTAAGGTGAGGATGGGAAGAATGAAACAATCTCTTCTTGTGTTGCCACTCTCATTTTTGCATTTAATTTCTTCTCTCTAAGCAAAGTGGTGAAATGTATATTGCCTGGCATTCTCTTAGGTCTGCTTTTATAGCTGACATTTCATTACACTGCAGTCTCTATACATGAATTCTCCCCTTCCAACTGCTATAAGCTGCCTAATTTCTGTGCTTTTGTTTACCTGTGTAATACTCTAATTGGGACCCAGTGTTTAAGAAAGGAGAACTATGCCATTTTAATTTCCTGTTGTTTTTTGAAGGCTCCTTAATCTTATTGTCTATATTATTGAAAAGCAAATCACATTACACACATTCGCATGGATCCAAGGAGGTAAACTAACATTGTAGTAAACTGACAGTTCAAAATATGCTCCTCTGCTTCAGGGAAATTATACGTTTCATGCAGCACACTGCCTCCCTTCTAGGTTTCCCTAAATTGCAGCAGGTAAAGCTCCTCTCTACACTCAATAGAGAAATCTTACAAATAAACACACGTCAAACAAGATTCCCAATTCTGTCTGTAGGTAAACAGATTAAATTTTCAGCTTATGCAGATGGCACTTCTGTAAGTGCTCCTAACATCTGCCACTTTTACTGTAAATCATACAAACTAGATTTAGGAAGGCTGTAGTAGGGATTTGAAGAATACTCATTTTCATTGTATCCAAGTACATTGAGTACTTCTAGTCTGTTTCTGTACTTATTAACAGCATTAATTATCAAATCCAATATGAATATAATTTTTAAACTTTTTTAAGTAAATAATTAATACCAGCCTTTAGTGTAAATGAGAATTGTACACTTTTTGACTGGGTCACATAGAACCTTTTACAGCTTTTTCACAATATCAAGCATATTTCTGAAGTTAACCCGTTAAAAGACTGAAGATTAGTACCCTGTAGTAATGTAAAGAAAACCCATCAAGAACTGTGATAAAGTAAACCTGTCATAATTATCACATTCTTACTCTCCTGGCTTGGCAAAAAATCCCCCCCAAAACTAGAACATGCACAGCTCCTCCTTTCATTAAACATTCAAGTACATTCTCTTATTCTCTAAAATCTGCCAGTCAGCATATATATCACTAAACTGCAATTACTGATGGTGTTCTCAATAACATACTTTGAACATGGTATTCTAGTGATTAACATTAAACTTCACTGCAGTAACAAAGTTGTAAAAACAGTAAATTGACTGTAAAAGGTTAAATACACAACTTGATTTCTTAATGTCTTCAAAGTTTACTTCATTCTAAAACATTCCACCTACCTTGTTTATGAACTTTTCAAAGTAACTAATGCCTTAAATATTTAGAGCTTATATTAGTCTATTAGCAATGCCATGCTTCTAAAAAGAATCTATTTTACTCTAACACTTAAGGTTTTAGACTTCTTTCTGCTGCACCTAATCCTGTTATGAAACTTTTGTTAGGTCCCTTGAAAGTGTAGTTAGTTTTTTCTCAATAGTTAACATCACTAATCATAGTGCAGCTCTTAGCAGTGTTCATGTTCCTAGAGCTATTTTATGAAGAGCTGCAGGATGGCCACCTTCAAAGAGCAAGAAATCAAAGCAGAGAAGGTAAAGTTATATTTACAAGGACATAAACCCTCCCTCACCCAACAATCCAGCAGCAAAGAGAAACGACTCCATGTCTTCCTGGCCTCTGCCATCCCCTACCCAGTCACGTACAGATACAGGAGGGAGTTACTTTGAATATTCTCCAAAGACATTCCTCAGATCAAATGATTATTCAAAAGATAATCTATCAAAAGTGATTCAGATTTATCTAAAATTAAAAGTGCACAAGATTTGTTCAAAATTTGTCAGCATTAGAATATCACCTGACATACAGTGTTTTCTGGTTGAACCTATGCAAACAAATATACAGCAACCCACAAAGGAACTCATAGGACTGAATCTGTCATGGTCACTTCCAATGGCTTGTAGTTGTGTTTCCCATGTACTGAAGTCCTGCCACACTGGAAAGCATTAGCTTAACTTCCATTCTTCCTAACTCTGTCTTTGGCAAGTTGAAAGTTGACAAAAAGGTAACACAGTCTTCAGAAGGGCTGACAACCTGGAGATCATGTAGCTCAACCCTCCTTGCCAAAGCAAGGTCAGTGACAGCAGTTTCTCAAGACACTGTCCCATCAGGTTTTGAATATCTCCAGTATCTCCAGGTCCAAGAAGATTAGCATGTTATATTCGAGACTAGGGCCCTAATCCAGCCAAACACATACACACTTATTTCCGATATAAGGATTTCAAGTTATTTAGGCCTGAAGTCGAGGAAAATGCTCTATCTACATATTATAAACCCAGATTCCAGAAGTGGCTGGAAGCTAAACCTAAAAGTGTAATGGAGTAAGACCTGCAGGTTTGCATCATTGCTCTATAGATACATTTGGGAAGAGAAACCATGAAGATATGTAAAAAAAATTGGGCTCTTATTCCTTTCCGTATGTTAAAACCATCTACTTGTTCAAAGAACGTAGCAAGACAAATCTGCTGGGCAAAAGGATATTCATCTCTCTCTTAAAAGGATCCTTGTCAGGAACAAGGTGCCACTTGGTAAGAAAGTCTGTCCTAACTGTTGGGCTGAACTTGCTCTTCACTAGGGGATCAGCTCTTAACTTTTCAATCTGCATAGTTTTCAGCAGGCTACAGTACTAGCACTAAATACAGAATGTGACACACCTCCTCTCATTCTATAATTTGGGTTTGATTATCTTTGTTCTAATTGAATACTGTTAAAATTGCATGAAATGCAATGGAAACAGCAACACATCTGGTGAAGGGTCTAGAGCTCAAGTCTTATGAGGACCTGCCAAGGGAACTGGGGCTGTGTAGCCCAGAGTAAAGCAAGCTGTGGGGAGACATTATTGTACTCTACAACTACCTGAAAGGACGTTGTAGTGAGGTTGGTGTTGGTCTCTTCTCCCAGGTAACAAGTAACAGGACAAGAGGAAATAGCCTCAGGTTGCACAAGGGGCAACCTGATGTTTGATGTTAGGGAAAATTTCTTCAAGAGGGTTGCCAAGAATTGGAACAGGCTGCCCAGGGAAGTGGCCGAGTCATCATCCCTGGAGGTATTTAAAAGACGTGTAGATGTGGCGCTTCGGGACATGGTTTAGTGGTGGGCTTAACAGTGCTAATAGTTAGACTTGATCTTAAAGGTCTTTTCCAACCTAAATGATTCTATGTAACAGAAGCGAAATGCATTCCCGTTAGTGAAACTGTTAGTCAGAACAGATAGTATCTGTTAATATATTTCCTAGTCTTCGATTTAACCAAATAGTAAGTACTTTGTGTCCTTTGACATTTCATTTATCAAGGGCACCAGTTAAAATGTTGTTTTCATGGTTTAGAATTCCTCTTAATAATGAAATGATTCTGCCAACCCCCCCAATATATTTCCCTATTTACTCAAAAACTCAACATCAAACTCAGAATTAACAAAAAAAGTCAACCACAAGTTTTTAAACTAAGTGACTTTGCCTTCATAATCTTCCCTTTTCCTTTAGTAAAACAGCAAAGTTCCTTTAACACAAAAGTGCTTAGTCAATAAAAGTTTTGTTAAACCTTCTGTGCAAAAGTTTGAGTCTGCAAGCCCCAATTCAATCAATAAAAGCTAAATTTAGCTCTCATTTTCATTCCAATATAACCCACAAAGAGGTTTTTAAAATATAGAATAACAAAAACTTCCATGAGAGAAGGTCATTCACAGACCTTGAGGAAGATCAGGAACGGTGACATAATTTAGTCTGCAAAATGGCATACTAACAAAGCAAAACAGAACAAATGTAGCATGGAGATTAAAACAGACACTTCCTACACTCAAAATCATTAGCAGATAACCTTACACCTGCTGGATGAAATGTCCTTCCCTTCACCGATTTCCTGGTGTTCCATTTCATCTATTAATGCCAACACAGGCTACACTGTGGTTATATAGCTGAATATGCTCAAACCTACCTCACACAGACTGAGAAACCTGAATGTAACTTTACATGATTTCTGTGAAGCTATAGAGAGACAGGGGTCAGAGCTGAGATTCAAACTCCTGAAAGCCAACAGAAATGTCGTAAGCAGTATAATGGCATTTAATGCCCAACAAAGTACAGACCTTGACCTCAATAAGACGACTCTTCTAAATTCAGCTACATGACTTGCATTTAGCAATTCCAAGTAAATTTTGTCCCAGGCTAAGGGTTCATCACCTTTGAAAATTCTGTGGTCAGACAGTGAGAAGGCTTGTTTCTGATATACCAATTTTTTCCTCTGAAGGGAATAGATATACTTTTAGTTTAGCATATGGGTTAATTAGAGTAGAAAGAGGTCTAGGGCAGTGAAAATAGGCAGAAGCTGTATGTCTGTCTCTTGAATACACTTGGGGTTATTTGGGTTATTAGCAAAAATTTATAGCTCTGTTGAAGAGTTTAGCTGTAACTACTACATAACTATAAAAGTTCTCATAATTTCAACTTCACAACATATTAAAATGATAAGGTATAGAACATTAATCCTCCAGTCTGTCTCAATACAGACTCATCCAGTAAAGAAAATCCAGGTCATACGTGTAATGGACCGTGAACTCAAGCTAAGTACTCAAAACTACCTAGGTTATTAGCATCTAACTGAAAGTACCAGAA